AGTTCATCCTCAAAAATACAACTTGCCTAATAATTGTGCACGCAGTGTATGTGGTCACAGGAATGCAATGGCTCAATGTCTGGAGAATAGCTTATGAAATTATGAATTTGATGAAGAAATTAGATATCCCTTAAATTAAGAGTGGCCACATCTGGATCTATGTTGACGAAGATTCTCAGTCATCCTGGTGGAATTATCTGGAGGTTGAGTCATGGCAACTGGACTTCTTTTCTTTTGGTTTGATACGTTTCGCTGCTTGTCCAAGCAGACTGAAGGAACTGCTTGAACAAGCAGCAAAATGTATCAAACCAAAGGAAAAGAAGTTCACCTCAACCTCCAGGCACATCTGGATCTCTTGGTTAAATCCTTGAATGATTTGTAGTAGGTACCTAAGATTTCTTCATGCTCCGTTGATTTAACATAGCAGACATAATATGATTCTCCATCCCAGTTTGAAATAAAAGATGCTTGAGATAACCAAGAAGGGACTTTCATGTCGAAGCATGATCACCATACAAGTTTCTAAGCTTGTCATTTTAAATTCAAAATGTATGTTTTATAACCAGTAGTCTGGCTGATAGGCCTCAGGTTTCAAATTAAAAGAGCAAAGTAGGTACAGCAAGCCTGACATCTGCCCAACTTTGCCTTAGTTGGGGTGGACTACCTACATTCCACCAGGTTGCTCTCCAGCATTCTGAGATACTTGCATTTTGCTGATTTCAGATTTCTTAGGGTTTGAGGTGGAATGGGGAATTCAAGGGTGGAGATCAGAATGGTTTGCTTCGCAGGGACTTCCAGTTTTTAAACTTAAAATCCTCCCAAAATCCAAAAAGGCAAAAATAAAATTAAAAATTCAGCCCTGCTGCTTCTAGTGATATTACCATATCACCAAACTCCGAATTGCAGTCCGGGCTCCCCATAGGCTGTTGACCTCTGCTTTAGAACACCTGAAGATTAAGGCAATAGATGTGGCAGTTTATACTGCAGCTTCCCTTTTCCACCATCTCTCTCCAGGGATCAGTCTAGGATGGCTGCTTCAATCCTGGGTCCCACTGGAAAGAGGACTCCGTTTCTACCTGTGGGCTTCATTCTCCCTTTTGCTAAGTGCCACAGTGATTTATTGGACATTGATTACTCTTGGCATCGATCTCAACTGGTGAGTTCCTTAAGTGCAAAGAGATGCATGTGGTCCTCTTTTTCACAGGGTATCTGAATGTCTAACAGCCTTTCCTAACTAGCAATCTTTAGTGGAACCCAAAACATGCTAGCTGCAGCATTAGGATCTTGGCTGTTCTCTGTATTTCCTGGTGTTGTGCACATGGAAAAGAGCAGAATAAGGTTGCTTAAGTCATGCCCTCGGGGTGAGATGAGGCCAACATTATGAGGAAATCAGGTTTAACTGGTGTTGCGATGTTGTTCTGCTATAAATACACGAAGGAAACAAGCTCTCAGTTTTGCAGCCTGTGTTTCATGTACTTTCTAACCCTGAACTTCTTAATGCTTTTCTTAGCTTTGATGGGGAGGAAAAGAAGCCATCCATCCACATAAGCGGTGGGTGGATTATGCAACTATGCAACTGGTCTCTTAAAGACCCCTTTCAATTCTGTCATCTCCTTGAAAGATCTTCCCCCAACTGCCAAGTATATTCAAATGAGAAAGGAATGTTCCCTCAAACATTTGTCAGAGTTCACTTCTAAAAAGAAAAATCCAGCTCACCCATGGATACCACAATTTGTGGCTTTAGAGATTGAGGGAGATTCTAGAACTACTCAGATTTCAACTGTTTCCTCCTATAGACATGGTTATAGATAACTTTCATATGCCTCTCTCATGTTAATGTCTTCTTCAGGTCAATGAAGCTTGCAATGAAGTGGTGTGAAAATCCCAAGTGGATCCGCATGGACACACACCCATTTGCCTCCCTGTGTCGTGATGCAGCCACAGTCCTTGGACTGGGACTGGCCTTTCACTCTTCCTCCTATACCCAACTCAAACGTGAGAGGCTTGGTTGGCTTCAGAGGGGATGGTGTGCCATCCTGGCTCTTGTCATGCTGTACCTCCTAAGTGGCATTGCCCAGCCACAAGATGTGGCTCTGTGGTATGGGCTGAATTTTGTAAAGTATGCCAGCTTCCCATGGATGGTAATTATACTGCTTCCCAAAGCAGTTCAACTACTGATCTCTCCAGGAACGCCATCTCACACAGAGTAGCTAGTTTTAGCTTGAAATATTTGTTCTTTCCACACAGATGTTTTATATTGAAGGAGATGCTGTGTTTTCCTCAAGATGCAGAGTTTGTTCATCCACAGGCTAATATGGTTTCCCTTTTGGCTTAAGCCACTGTACCCTATATCCTTAATTGTGGACACTTGCTTTGTTCCTATCTGTGTAACCATGTGCTTCTCATGTATACATGGGGCTTTTATTCATATACACGTCTCAAAACTGTTTCCTCTAAAAGAGACTTTTGCAACTGAGAAAGAGGAAAGAGGGTTGCACAGTGATGCCATGGAATTATCCTCATGGGAGGAAATTACAAGGAAGATAGTATATCATTAGATTATGTCAGGGACATCTCTTCTTCACTTAACCTAGAAAAATCCTATAATGGAAGAATACACAAGACGATGTAACTCAACTATAGTGTACATTCAGAAGATCTCAGGTTCAGTCTCCAGCATCTCCGTGGAGGGCTAGAAAAAGTTCTCCAGTTAAATCCATGGAAAACTGAATTAGATAGATCAGTAATCTGTTTTTCTATAGGGCAACTTCCTGTACTTCTAAGTGCCTTGTCTTGCCTTAGTTTACCCAACAGCTTGAGGTCAAAGTCCTGTCGCTGACCAGCATAAAATAAGTCTTTCACCAAAATGAGGTAGAAACTGTTGTTTCTTGTGTATCAAAGTTCAACATTATTTGATGTAATAGGAAATGTCCCTGTTGAAGGCACGTCTTCTGCTCTATATCCAAAATAAATCAAGACAAGACATGCTGCATTACTTTTTTTTCTGATCCATAAACTCTTCCTGGAGCACACATAGTTACTCTGACATGCTTTCAGTTTTTCTAAAGATGACTCGTTCATTCTGGGTTAGCACCAGGGAGCTTCTTGGAAGGGCTGAGCATCCACTTCTCAAATATTCTGTTGCTTCCTGGTATTGAGTTGGAATGTGTTCCTGATTTTTGTGAGCATGGGTCCTCACAATGGCTGCTGTATGAGTAATGAGATCCCATATTCATAGAGCACCTTACAGTTGTTCAGGAGGAAACTCATTCTCTTAAATCTGTGAAATACTGCAAGAGCTACATATGGGAATCCAGAGCTACAGCAGCCCCAAATATGCTTCTCCAGCATCTTCTGGCAGACACTACCCATTCCCTTCAAAATAATTTGGTTCCATTTTCAAAGCACTCTAACCATCCAGGTTTCTCCTAATGGTTAACTGATTTTTTTCCCTCTCTTGCAATGTAAATTAAGTTGATTTAGCATCTAGTTCTGCCTTCTAGAGCAGCAAAAGACTAATAGAGACCTCTACTTTTAGAAAAGGCATAGTAGAATCTTTCCCTCCTAGTGTACTCGGTCTTCTTCCTACGTGTGTGTTTTGCACTACAGTGAAGCAGGTGGTACTGAAAATTATAATTTCATTGGCACCCTTGATTCAGGGCAGGCCTGCCCACCAAACAATGGAGAAATATAGTCTCAGGGTATCCCATAGCTGATTTGCTATTTTAAAAAAGATGTTGCAGTAAATCATGATGTTCAAGTTGGTGTTTGCAACTGGTTGTATGATGTGTATATTTATGATTAATTCCTTGCAGAGTAGCTGGAGCTTATTTACTTGAGTATGATATTTAATAAACTCATATTAGGTGGCTATTTCCACAGATGAAACTGCATTTTACCCACCATCTCTCTGATATTCAGTGAAAACAGCTGGAAACACACACACACACACACCAGCTCACCCAAGGTTTCTGATGATCAAAGGGGCAAGTGAGACCACCTCTCATTTGCACTACATTGTGAGCAGTCTTTAAATATGTTCATTTTTAGAAGCTATTGTCATAAACAGGATCATTTCTGTAGCCGTTTACCGGTCTTCTTACTCCGGATACCTTGCTCTCCATATGGCTCTGTCCATGAACAAGAGGACGATATCTTCAGGTCTAAAAGTCCCTAAGATTAGCAGAAATAAAACACTCTCTCTGAAATCACAGAGCATTTCATGATGGAGCCTTCACAGAATGCTCACTTCATTGTAGAACCTAACAGTCTGTGGCAAAGTAATGGTGTTTTCAAAGAAAAGGCACAGCTGGCTAGCATCCTAAATAAAGCACTCCATACTGCAGTTATTTGTGGCTGGTCTTGTCTGTGAATCATATGCTTTTCTTGTTCTAGTTCTTAAATGTTATTCTGGACTAGTCCACACATTTTTGGAAGAAGCAATATTGCACACGTTTTGTCCCTATTTTCTGTCAATTGTGATTTACAGTCTGTTCTATTTTTGTTTCTGAAAATGCCTAGATTCAGTTGAATCTCAGAGGGAGCATGAACTACCTCTTGTATCTAAGAGCATGGCGATCCAATTTAGGACTTCTGGGCACAGACAGAGGAGCTTCTGCTTTACATAGCACATTGCTGACCGATGGGATTCACTGCCACAGAATGTAGTAAGAACCACTAGTTTAGAATGATTTAGAAATGACTTAAATTATTGTAGGATAAGCCTGTTACTGTCCACCAGTCATGACACAAAATTCAGGTCCAGAAGAATGCCACTGGTTATTCAGTAATAAGAGCAGAAAAGGCAGTAACTCTCTTATTCTGTATATGACTCTCCAAGAAACATCCCACAGACCATTCTGGAAAAAAGGCGGCTAAATCAGAAAGCTATTAGGTCAGTAAGGCTCCTGGGTTCTTCCTATTAATAGCACAATCCTATGCATGTCTACTCAGAAGTAAGCCCCACTGAGCTCGATGGGCCTTATTTCTAGGTAAGCATGTATAGAATTGCAGCCTAAACACAGTGCTGTATTTTAAATGACTGACAATATAATTCTAGTATTATGAATTTTTTCTTAGCATATTTTTAACTCCAAAGTGCCCCTTGTAAATCAGCACTGTGCATCTTTAATCAATGTGCCCTTTGGTGTGTGGGTGTGCATGTGTGTCAAGCAACAGTCTTGGTTTGAGAATGACATTTCGCAAACATTTGTTTTCATTTGTAAAATGTGGAAGATCATGAATGTGTGTTGCTCATGTTATCTCTGAGCTAGAGCATCAAAGACCACATACTTTGCATGCCAAGGACTAAACCTCTGGCATTTTTATGTAGTTCTGGGATTTTAAAGGACCACTCACCATCAGTCTAGATCAGTGTTTTTTTTTCAACGTTGGCAACCTGAAGATGTGTGGACTTCAACTCCCAGAATTCTGCAGCCAGCATGC